AAAGGGAAAGGGAAAGGGAAAGGGAAAGGGAAAGGGAAAGGGAAAGGGAAAGGGAAAGGGAAAGGGAAAGGGAAAGGGAAAGGGAAAGGGAAAGGATCCCCAAGTAGCCAGTTTTACTTACTACCAGGTGATTTCAAGGTTCAGCTTTATTGTGCCAAGGTCGTTAATGTCTACTGCAACCACCTGGGGTCGAGCTGCAAATAGGTCCTTGGTTTCACAAGTAACACTTCCCACAAGGATGTGAGTAGCAAGTCCTTTAACTTCTGTGACCTGTAGGAGAAAAGAAGGGGATGATTTACAGCGCTTTATAAGGTACTGTAATTCTTGATTATGGGTCAGTGGATTTGACTTTTTTTTTTACTGACCCTTTGCCAAAAGACTTCAAAATATGTTTGTGTCTGCTGCATCTCTGTATTTTTTTAAGTGAATGCATACTAAATGAAAGGCTTCTGCGGTTCTCCAGCTTAATAGATACCACTGTCTCATCTGAGTAGTGACAACAGACCCATCAGGAATGGGTGTTTAGCTTTGGGGTAGTCCTTGCTTTTGCCTTAGCCAGCAGGTTCTAGTGCCCTCGCGCTTGGCTGCAGAACACCTCAGTGGTTGAGCGCTGTTGGCTTGAGGCTGTGAGGCCCCCATGGGAAGACCATCCGGGCCCCCGCCGGGGCTCCAAAATGGGTCATGGCCTCGCAGCGTCCCTATCGAGATAGGCCCCTAGCATGTGTGTTGGCAAGAAGCCATCGCCAGCTCTGTGTGCGCAAAGGCAGCCTCCTGACTCCCGCCTCGCCTCACCTTGATGGAGATGAGCCCAACGATGAGCGGGAGGAAAACCATCTCCTCTCCGTCCCAGCTCTGCTTGCCGTTCACCTCTATTTTGCCTTTCAGTTTCCATCGCTGGCGGCCGTAACGCATGAAAATCTGAGAAAGAAAAGTCCTTTTACATTCTTGCCTAACCTGCTTTCTCCATACATGGATGCTGGAAAGGGTCAGAAACGAGTTGCAGGAGCGCAGGGGTGCTGCCCGCTTACTTCCTCATAAGCTAGAACACTTTTTTTTTATCATTCTCTATTCAATCTACTCTTGCTGTTTCCCACTGAATCAGTGCAGCGACCTTAGGCAGTGGCATAACTGCACAGTGTGCCCCATCTGCATCTCCAGAAGTGGTTGTTCCCTGTCTCTCTGCTACTCGAGGATGAAGTAAAGCCTGGCTGACCAGAAATTTGTTCCATCCCCAGGGGCAGGAGATGCATTTTCTCAGTGGAAGTGGAAATGCCTGTCAAGAATAAGGCAGAAGCATGCCCTCCTCCTGGAACACAGCTAAATATATATATTTAAAAGCTTGTAATTCTCTGAATAATTGCCATCCATTTTCTATATAATTTTAATGTCTTGAGGCATATGTCCTCATAAAGGCAGATATACAGAGAAGGGGAGGTTCTTGACAGAACATATAGGGGAAACAACATCTGTTTCTGAGCTTTAATCACAGGTTTAATTAAAAAAAAAAAAAAAAAAAAAAAAAAAAAAAAAAAAAAAGAGAGAAAAAAAAAAAAAAAAAAAAAAAAAAAAAAAAAAAAAAAAAAAAAAAAAAGAGAGAGAGCGAGCTTTTTGCTCTTTGCCTATTAAATCAAACCGAAAGCCGCCCCCAGACAAACCTCGTATTGATCTCCCGGACACAGGCGAGCGAAGCCGGCCAGACCTGAGGAGGAAGGACAGGGGGGATGTTGAGAAGGGCCCCGGCTGGCGGCAGAGGGCAGCAGTGCCCCGCCGCAGGACGCCCCAGGCGCTCCGGAGAGCGCCGTTTCACCCTCTTAACCCCTCCTTGCTATTCTAGTGCAGAAAACACCCGTCTAGTCATTCTTAGGTCTTCAAAAACCAAGGCTGCTTCCCACCACTGCGTGAAGATCATGATTGGTTTAAAAGCTTCTTCTGTCTGCAAATTCACTGCCTTGTGGTTTCTTGAATCTCAAGAATTTACTTTTTTTTTTTTCTAGCTGTTCCCTAGTGGTGCAAGCCCTAGAAGTCTCTATATAACAATTAAAAAGGACTGGTGGTCCTTTCCATAGCATCGTCCGCCTTTGGAGGCGGCGCTCGCTACTGTGAGACATAGGGCAGCTGATGGTTAATGCTCACTGCTTGACATTAGACGTAGGGCAGCTGACAGTTAATGCTCACTGCTTGGCACTAACTGCATGGAGCTACAAACTGTAACGCGGGGCTGCTGCTTAGGGCTGCTTGGCAGAGACCTAGCAAGCGAGGGAGCCTCATTCCGCCTGGTGCTCCGTCAGGCTCATTCCCAGAGTGTCAGAGTGTCTTTCAATAGAAAGTGTGTTAGGAAACCAGCCTGATATGGGTAATAGTAAATACCTGTTTGGGTATGTGTTTGCTTATTGTTTTTTGTAAGGGGAGACACGGTGATCCTGTTTCTCTCTTGGTAGCGTGTATGTGAAGTGGGGAGCTGCAGGAGCCTGGGACTGACCGGAGCCATGGGGGGAAGTCGCCATCCCTCTCCCTGTGAGGTCCCGTCATGTCCCTCTCCTGGCCCTGTGACCAGCATCACACAGGATGCAGCAGATGGCTTTGCGGTAACCAAGTCCTCCTTCTCCACAGGGTTTGAAAATTCACTTTGCTCTTTCTGCGGGTTACTGTTTTTATCATAAAATGCCTTGGCCAAATGTGTAGATGTGTTAAAATCTACACAGGTTGGCTTTTTTATCGGACCAAATCAGTTTCCTAGAGGACTGCTGGATCACCTGAATTCTTCATCTGGCTCCGGCCTGTCCCTGTGATCTGCTGATCTGTTTCTTTGATCCAAACCAGTGTTTTCTTCACTCCTCTTGTAGCTTTGCAGAACAAAGAGGCCCTTGCTCAGAGCTCATATTACCAATTCCTTTCTAATTTATTTACTGTTTATAAATAATTTAAACTTACTAGCACTCCACTGCTGCTTCTCCCTCCCTAGGCATCCTTTTATTAGGGAATTCGATCTCCCCTGGGACATCTCACTAAGAGTATCTGAGGGAAATAAAAGGCCCTTTCTCTGCCCAGCGGATGGTGGGGTTGAAAACAAGGTTCAGAAACGCGCACACACTGCCCTGGACCAAGATCAGTGAGAAGTGTCTGGCCTGCGCAGGCAGAGGCTGGGGCAAAGGGACGCAGAGGAAGCGCTGGGGGCCGTAAATCTGAAACGGGCTCTGGCCGCCGTCGGCTCTGGCTTAATCTCTTTAGTCCCGTGACAAGGGTTTCCGCAGGACAGAGCTTTCGGGTAACTGCGTGGTGGCTCTTCAGCCTGAACGTACAGCACGAGCATCCCGTGTACGGCTCATGTTGGGCTGAAACAGCTTGGCGTTTTCCCTGCCGCTGTTCTTGCGCTTCCCATAGGTATGGGCTGCTCCTGTGTCACAACAGGAAATACAGATCCCATACAGGGCCTTCCAAAATTAGGGCGCTCTTTTTTTAAAAACACAGCGTGGGCCCTTTACTTCCTGACAGCACTGTGTAGGCTGGCTTGCTTTTAGTGAAAATGACAGGATATAAAATAGGAAATAACTAGTGCTGGAATGACTGGGAACGGATCAGCACTGGGAGAGGAGAACTTGGGTTGCACTGTTAGGTCCTAGGCTTAGCTGGGTTGGCTGCAGTCTAACATAAGAGAGCAGCTTGGCGCACGCTTACGCTGGAGCTGTTCTGCGAGCGTTAACCATAGCAATGGCTGGGCTGAAGATTCATGAGCTAAATATACCTAGGTGGCCGTCTCAGATATCTTGAAGAATACCCAGCAATAAGGCCTTTCTCTTTGACTGTTAGTTTCTAGCTGGGGTCCCTGCACGTTACAGGAGCCGTGCTTCCAAGCAGGTGTCTCTGCGTGGGCCCTGCTCTTGCACATGGCGGACAGCTCCTGGAGGGTGCCGGGGGCCTCGGGCAGGCCACAGAGCGGCACAAGACCCTTCATCCTCGTGGCAGGAGCGGTGCCGTGGCGCCCCTCGCCACCAGTGCCGTGGCAGGCTGAACACGGGCACCTCGCTCACAGGGAGCCAGGAAAGGCTCCTCGGGCACGGCCTGCCACAACCTCCCTCCTGCACTGAGGGTCCTCGTGCTTGCCCTGGTGTGTCCATGCGGCAGTTTTGCGGCAGGTCTGCGCATGGAGACGCGCGGCCCTTTCTCTGTGAGGCCGTATGGTGACTTGGACTCACCCCCTCGCCTCCTCGACTGCCTTCGCAGCAACGACGAGTGGGGGCTGTAAAGCTCAAGGGGATGGTGCTGTGGCCGGGCTCAGGAGAGCCAGACAGGCTCCTTGCTGCAGCTGCCGTGCTCGGCCTCTCTGGGATGGGATGAGGAAGGAGCTACTTGAGCTTGACCTAAGCTAGGCCGCGTCTCGCCTCCTGCAGCCCTTGGACACAACGCCGACGGCCAAGGTGGAAGTGAGACCCTGTGCAAGGGTTATGAGCTCGTGGAGTCCAGGATCAGAGTTTCTTGGGGTTTATTTCCTTAGTGGACTCTTTGCAAGATTTCAAGTGAAGAATTATGAATGTAGAGTACATGTATGTTTAGCTAATGATGATGTGGGATTTTTTTTTTTTTTTTTTTTGTTCCCTTACCCTCTTCAGTCTTTTCTTGGAAACATTTAGTCCCAAAAGGTTAAAAACTTTCACAATATCTAAAGATTCACTAAACTTGCCTGGAAGTAGATCTACATCATTAAACTAGGCTTCAGGTAAAACTGTTTTTACTGTAATCAAACCCACCAAATCCTCTGCTATAAACACAAGAAATAAAACTAGAAGATGAATTCCACCCCTGAGCTATCTAGGTAAACCACTCGCAGTTCATGCTTTTTTTCACATTTACTCAGAAGTGATAATAGTCAGAGTCAGCAAAAGTAAAGGATTAGAAACAGCTGGTGCCAAATTAAGGAAGGATTTGGAACTTCAGCTCCACAGGCATTGACATAATTTCCTAGTTATCTTCTTAAAGGGTTGTGGAAATAGAGGCAAAAGGTACAGCTGCTGTTGAAACCGAACTGCTTGGGCTAGAGAGAGGATTGTTTGAGGGAGTCTAATTAGCCCCTCTCCCTTCAAAATGAGAAGAATCATCTCAGAAAATCAACCTGTGCAAGCTCAATGTTCCAAGCTACGTGATCTCTTCCACTGACTATAGGTGTAAGTGGGAGGGAAAGCCAAATCTTGTCCTAAGTACACCTGAAATTATGGTGCAAATGCTCTCCATAACGTGCACGGAGAGGTTTATCTCTCAAGCAGGAGGAAGGGAGAGGGGGGGAAAAACAATTACCTTTCATCTTGATGCAAAACTCCCCCAATAGGTTTTCCAGCTCTGCTTCTATGGTACACATGTTCTAAGTTGGAGAAAAAAATGAGGTCAGATAAAGCTCTTTTTGGACTATTTGGAAAGAAAATAGTCTATAATGCAGATAAAAGATATTTTAGAGTAAAACCCAACTGCCAGAGCCATCGTTGTTATTTAACTAGGCCTGGTGCTAGTGGCAGCAGCCAAGCTGTGCCTGCTCACAGCAGCGCTGAATGTCCCTCATGCTCCTTGGAGCTGCCTGAGCCCTGCGTGAGCAGGGGGAGCATCAGCCCCAGGGAGCGACCTGCTCCTCTGCCCGGCTCTCTCCACCTGGGGCAGGTGCCAGCAAGACCTCCTGGCCAGGGTGTGTCTCAGAGTGTGCTTTGTCCAGCTCTTTCCATAACAAAAAGCCTGTGGGAGACAGGAGGAGCTCCTCCCTCAGGTCTAGGGAGGTTGCCACAGCTCGTGCGCTGGGCTGTTCACAGTGGTATGAGGTCTCTCTTAATCGACATCCTAAATGTTTAATGAGTCGGACGTCTATTGGGACGAGCGGAGCTGGCCAGGATATAGCAGATGTCTCTGTGTATGTGGCCCCAGGCAACCTGCCCTTCCGAAATCTGCGCTGTGGGGAGGGCCTGGTGGAGGACACGTGGGCTTGCTACGTGGCTGAACTCCTTGCGCAGCAGTCCGTGGGATAACCCTGGCCTTGCAGAGGGTAAACACTATCCTTTCAGGGAACTCCTTGGGCCCACGCCACCCGCTTTTGTGAACGGTGAAGTATGTGACTGAAGAGGAAAAATAAATAGTAGTCATTCTTCACTGCCTTTTGTCCGTAATTCTCTTATCTGGATGGGATCAATGGCAAAGTTTCTGTGGCCTTCAATGAGGAAAAGAGCAAAGGGCGGGGGCTGTACCTCTGTGTACTCCTTGTAACTCCTGTTGATCTCTGTTAAACTCTCCCGGGCTGCTTTGCTGGCAGGAGACATCGCAAAGGCTTGCTTCATTTTGCTGGCACCGTCACAGAGGCGTCTTTGGATGCAGTAGGCTTCGTAAAGCTCATCCACCTAGTGGGAACAATGAGGGCATTTGGAAAAACTTCAAAAAAACACAAAACCCAGCAAAATAAAACCATCCAGCAAATAATGAAATCATTTGCATTATATAAAAACCAAGCCAAAGAACTGGTCAACTGTTAGGCCCAACAGACGGGTGAGCAAACGAACCTGTGATACTGTTACAGTCTGTGAAACAGAAATGCAGCATACAAATAACTTCTACTGTAAAACTTCTTACAGCAGCAAGAGATGCTGTCTGCCACTCCCCTGCTTTTCCTTTGTACCTTTAACCATTCTCCTCCATGACCATTTAACCCAGCTGTGGGCTATGTAGGATGGTAAAAGTGTAGGGGGAATGCAGGAAGCTTCTAAAATACCACAGGTGGCAGAGCCCCCTCAAAGGCAACAGCAACATCCACGCTGCCAGCTGGGACCGTGACCATGGCCGGCTTAATGTGCGTGCCAGCAACGCTGTCCGTAGCACTGACTGCCAGCATGGGATGGAGACTGACGAGGAGGTGAAGCTGGGAGCAGGGAACGGGTTCGACTTCTCTCTGCCCATCCTCCAGAAACTGGGAGTCCCTTAGCATGATTGAGGCACACAAAATTTAGTAAGCACTCTGGATGTCCTAGTCATGTGCAGGTTAATCCTTGACTGAGGTCTAGCTTCAGCGTGCAATGGACTTAAAATTATCTCATGTTTTGATTTCCTTTTTCCTTCCAAGCCCTTCACTGAATGTATATATTTACTCCAGCTGAGTTGTTCGGTGGGGCTCCACAGTTGAGTTGTTTTGGGACTCCACAGTTATATAGCTCCATTGGTATAAACATGTCTGCTGTGTGCAGGAGATGTAGGAAAGGAACAGAAGCCATCTTCTTATTTCTGCTTTTATTGTCCTATCTGCTAAGGTAGGACAAGGCTTATTTTTCATCTAGAATAACTCTTCTCCTTTGCAGTGATCACTTTGTGTTGGTTGCTCAATGGCATTTTCAGAGAAATGCATCTACTGCAGCAAAGCAGAGGTGAGGAAGGAGCGTCCTGGGAGGTGACAAAGGCCTAGAGGGGAGAAGGGGCTGCTGTGACGCTGCTGCGGCCCAGCCTGCTCTCAGCCGCTCCTCCTCATGGCTTCCATGCTGCCTTTCCAAATAAGACTAACGTGGATTCCTAGCGGTTGGAGGCACAGGTTCGAGGGCTCTTTAACCAAAACAAGAACAGCTCACCAAAGGGTAATGAAAGGACAGGTAGCGCTTTGTCGTTTCAGTTACAAAAGCAGCTTCTTGGAGCTGCATCCACCACTGTGGGCTCTTACACTGCCTCTTGTGAGTCCCCACCATCCTCACGCTAAAACCAACTGCTGTCGTTTTCTCTCAGCGTTGACTCCAGCGCCCAGGATGGAGCAGCCCCGGTGCCACGTCCTGCCCTGGCCCATGAGCGGGACAGGACGGCTGGGAGAGGCGGCCCCTTTCCCGCTTTGGGCATCCTCTCTCCCCCTCTGCTTCCCACACAGCACGGCAGGTAGGCAGCAGAAGGCAGCCCCGATCGGCACCCAACTGGGTCTCTTCTTTAATGCCGAATGAGCCATTTGAGACAAAAATGCTTCTCTGCCTGTGCGAGCCCGCGGGGCCTTAGTGCAGCGCGGCTCCATTCTCTTTGTATCTGTTGCTGTGGGTTACCAAAAAATGAGCTAACGTACTTGGGAAGCTTGACTAATACTGACCAGCATTACCTCTTGCCTTCGGTGCTTTTCATTCCTATTATAAACACCGAAATCATGAGCTCTGAGCAGGCTGGAGTGGGAAGGACTTGAATAGAAATGTTCTTTAAGCAATAATTTTGCCATTCAGACTGCCAGCAAGGAAGAAGGTAGTTTGGGGGAGAAAATTTCAACCTTTTGCTTGATGAGGTTTTTTTTCGGCTCCATACGTAAGAGAACGCTGAAATTAAAGGGTTTGGATGGGTTGTCATAATTGGAGCACCGTGCGCTGCATGAGCGCTTTTCAAATGGCTCTCGGGAGACATTTCAGCCATCAGAGGTAATTCATTCTTTTGTCAGGCTCGGAAAAGTAACTAATCACTAGCAGATATGTTTATAACTCGGAGAACACATGCCAGGGGTTCGGTCCAACGCTCCAGTGTGGTAGTGCAAGTCACAAGCACCTCTGCTGAATCATGTGGACTGATTGTCACTGGTGGGATCAAGTGAATGTGGACCCCAAATCACACTGCAAAGCTGCTCGCAGTGAAATCCAAGGGTTCCTCCCATCCAACTGTGATAGATGGCAGAGGTACTTGTGGAATTAAATTATTTTCAGATATAACTCTCTATGTACCCTTAGCTTAAAAGCCAGCATGCTGTGAAATATCTTTTTTTCCCAAGCAAGTGGCTGCCCCTGTGATTTCTGAGTATCTAAAAGCATGCGGCAGAGTCCCAGGGCATAGAGAACTCCTGGACCCCGGAGGCTGCAGCCTGTTCTACAAGCCTGTCTTAGTGTCTGCCCACCAAGGCATCGCTGAAAAAATACTGAGTGTGGGAGAGACTTAGCTGGAGCGGAGGGACAGAAGTAGGCTGAGGGTTTCCTTTCCTAAGAGCATAAGAGCAGAAGCAGAAGGAAGACGACAGGGCTGTTCCTCACCTTGCTAATGTGGAACTCCAGCCGTCTCATGTATCTCTCAACCGCTTTGATTTGCTGGGGGAAACAAAGTGGAGGGTCAGTCACATTTGAATAGACCAGGAGGACATCCCACGTCCCATGTGAGCTGCTTTCCTGTCTTCAGGTCCCCCTGAGCCTCGAATCCAGAGTCAGCTGTTTCATCTTACTACAACTAATCTGCTGGTGAAAATGGAGTTCACCGATGTCTATACCCAGTATGTTTTTAAACAAAAGATATGTTTTTTAACATCGTTGGCATAGCTTTCTTTGGTAGAAATTCCCTGCTCTTTTTCAAAGCTGGGGGAAAAAATGGAATTTGAGCATTTTTAGGTCAAAACACAGTATTTTCAGTGATACGAAAACCTGTATTAAAATTCATCAGGTTTTGGGTTTCAACATCAATTTTTTTCCTTAGTAAAGTGTTTCTGAATACAAAACAAGTTTGGCATGCTGATGAAGAAAGACAGACTTGTTCAGAAAATGCTTTTTGAAAGCTTTCCTTTTGTTTTACCCCAGATTTCCAGCTGGAAGGACATATTTTCAAATTTTCAGCTCGTTCTTTCCCCAGACTGGCAGGGCCAGGGCTGAGCGAGGCTGGCACAGCCTGGAGCTACCCCAAGGGCAGCAGCAGGCAAAGCTGCCTCTTGCCGGATTCACTCCCTTACTGAATTTGTCCCTCTCCCCTCCATGGATGTCCAGATTAGAAAGCACTGAGCAGCTCACATGCAGAGAGGGGCCATTTCTCCCTGAACCCTTCTGCAAATCTGCCTGGGGTCTAGTTTGCAGGTTGCAACCCACAACAAAAGCTGCTCCTTGAGCCTTTTGTGAGCAGCTGGCGAGACTGGAGGTCTCTGCCTGCCCTGCTGCACGAGCATGGATCTGCTTCCTGCTTTGTGCCCTTGGCAGTGCCAGTTTGACCTGGTAAACCCTGAGGAAAATACCATCTAGTCATCAGGTCCACTTCTCTCTGAATGGTGTTGCTCTGCTTAGCAGACCAGGTTGAGAGGGATTTTCTACACCAACTAGATGCACCCTGCAGATATGAACATTTCCTTGCAAAAACTGTGCCAGAGAGTAACTTACCTTATCCAAATCATACAGGACTCCCTGCAACAGAGAACAGATGAAACTGTGATTAATTTTCCAACATAGCAGCACTAGAGCACTGTGAGGAAGTCATTTTTAAGTGAATGGAAATCTAAAACAGCCTCAGAGCTGGAGAGCTTGCAGCTAGGAGGAAAGAGCTGCATCTGTGCGAACTCCCTCCACCCCTCTCCCACCCGTGGCTGCTCCAGTACCCATGGAAAGTTACTGTATGATTAAGAGCATAACACGTACCAGGCGTGAGTTTCTTTTCATGTCTTTTAGCTGAGCAGTCAACTTATCCAGCTCCGCCTGGTGAACCTCCAGGTACTCGCTGTAAACACAAACCAGAGAGGGACTTGGGTACTCCTGGGCACCAAACTGAGCTGTTTGCTGACCACAGGGAAAGAAAACCTGGGCAACAAGTGGCTGGGTGCGCTTTGCAACAAAAACTGATTTAGGCTGATCTGTCCCTAAAACAGCTCCTTGCTGCCTTTTAGGCAATAAATAGGTGCTGCTTCTTTAGCTGGGTATAACAGCTCAGTGTTTTCCTTACACTAAACAACTGGTTTCGAGCAAGCTAATCCACTCACAAGTTTATGGGCTGATGCCATCTAAGTGCTGTTCTTGTATTGGCCAGTAAAAGCCCTGATAACATCCCAGAAGTTATCTCATGTGTGGCATGTATCAGCCTCTCAAATGACTAAAGGAAATTCAGCAAACAAACAAAGAAAAATCTAATGCTGAAATCCCAGCTACTGAGAGCGTTGCCATCAATTTGAGCACAATCAGAACCAACTTCCCAAATATCTGTTCCCTGTACAAGCATTTCAGATAGTGAATTTTACAGTCCAGGCTCTAAGAGGTGTATATTCCTCTCCTCTGATTAGAGTTCCCTACTCTTACTTTAGGCTCTAAAACAGCAAAGAAAGGTTGAATCAAGCAGCGTGCCAAAGGCTCTTACTCCAGGCCATTCTTTAAAGCTCTGTAGACTTCCTCCATCCTCTTAGGCTGGGGCTCTTTAGGCGTGGTGCTGTTCTTATGGCCCAAATTATGCATTTTCTTCACTTTCGCTTGGGGCTTCTTGAGTGCAGAGGAATTTTCAATAAAAGAGTTGCACCTGCAAAATGAACATTAAAGAGGAGAAAACCCCTATAAATCAGAACAATTTCAAAGGAGCACCGCTTCAGGAAATCTTCCTGATGTTATCCCTGTTGGCAGAAAGGGATCTGCTTATGTGCCTGCCTGCCCAAGGCCTGCATTTGTTTACAGGCCAAGAGGTCTGAGCAGTCTGGGAGGCAACGGCATCAGCTTTTGATGTGCCAGTCACCTCGACGAGATGCGAGTGCTGGTCTGGAAGTGCTGCCGCAAGTCTGAGACTCATCAGACCTCTCTGCGATACTGCGTCTGTCCTGCCTCGCGCCGCTCGGCCACGGCAGTAAAAGGGCTGAGCTACAGCCAGGCACTAAAAGCAAAGGGATCCTGGCTAATCCGGCGTGTAAAGGCAGGGGATGCTTCTAAGAAAGACGGTGGCTGGCTGCGTGTCTGGGGGGAGAGCGGCACCGTGCTGGTCTTGGGCACCTGAGTAGCTCTGCGTGGCAAGTACGAGCAGTCCTGCTGTATTTAGGGGAATCTCTGGTTGCTCTCCTGTGAGCAGGGCAGCTCAACAGCTATCGTTGACTTGAGCAGAAGGAGGGGAGCATCTCACCCAAAGCCTCCCATCCTGCCTGGCCAAAGGAAGGGGTGACCAAAGGCTCCACCGCCAACTTCTGCTCCGCTGCCAGCGGGGCTGTCAGACAGCCTTGCTCCTGAAGCGGGGTGTCTTCAGATTCGTGACAGGGTGGCAAGGGGCAAGCTGTCTTTTGGTAGCACTGGCCATAAATTGGGTTAGTGGGAAGCGTGTTGTGCTTCTGCATGGTTTGCAGGTTGGGAAAGTTTCAGAGAACGAACTGAAATTTTGTCACAAGTTCAAGGAACAAGAGAGAGCCCTGCACTAAGGGGTGGGGGAGAAGGCAATTAGGCTTTTCGTAGCAAAGACACCATGTCACAGCTTGCTTATGCAAACAGAGGGATTTTTAGCCTACAGCATGGTTTTTCTGCAAGTCACAAAGAAGATGCTCCTCTCTTCCCTCCTTTCCACCCCCACCCTCTGAAGCGCAGGGCTCCTTTAGCAGCCTGGCCAGGAACTGCCCTCAAAGCGCAGCAGAGTACTTGCCTGGAGCGTCTTTCTTGAAGACCGCTGAAGCCAGCGAAGGATTGGCTCCTAATAATCCCATTAGGACCTCCTGGGGAGAATGAATGTGATCCTATTGACATGATTTCCGGCAGCCTGGAAGATATTCCTGGAAAACAAAAGGCAGGAGGTCAGCGGATGGAGAGTTGGAGACAAGCTTTAAGGTGGGGCCTGCCCACTATTCACCAGAGCTGCTGCAGGGAGCTGCCTCCCACCAGGTGCAGGGAGCCCTGGCCTTCATGAATAAGACTCTCCATTCAGCTTAGTTTACTTAGCTGGGCTGCTCCAGCTTTCTAACAAATAGCAAGAGCATCTGCAAAGGGGTTTCCCTTTCATGGAAACAAAAAGCAGAGATGGTTGGAGCTTTGTCAGACAATTTGTTTGTATTACTGGGTTGTCCTGCTTCAAAGATAAAATGGTCCCATTTTTACTTCTCACTTAATCCCAGGGTCTTTTTGCTCCAGCAGCTCAAAGTACTGGAGACATGGGACTAAAACCAGATGCTTTGGTGTGTAAACCCCAGCACTGCCCCTGGAAGCTTGTGCCTTGCTTGGCATGCATCTCCCCGAGGCTGGTTGCCCCATGTGCTGTGTCAGTGGCCAGGGTGTGCTGGAGATGACCGCGAGGCCAGGGGAGAGCAGCTCTGAAGGGAAGTTCATCATCGATGTGAGGTGTTATTATACAAAAATTGTAATGAGGGTTTGCTGGGTGTGAATGAAGCCCTACGTCTCCCTCTGATCCTTCCTTGCACTCCTGGCAGCCCTGCTGCACAGAGGGAAGGTGGAGTGGATGTGCGTGCGCGTGCTGCGGCACCCCGGGGATGCTCTCCCCGATGGCAAGAAGCAGGTAAACAAGTTCCAGGTACCACATCTCTGCCTTCAGGCACCCAGCAGAGCCCCCAGCACCCCTGTGAGGAAGCCCTTGGTGCATCTGGGCTTTCTCTGTGCCCAACTCAGTGTTCGTGGGACAACCCTGCTGTCCACAGAGCAGAGCAGCCCCCCAAGCAGAGGCCTCTGCTGTGTTGGATCTGTGCTGCGCTGGGAGTTTGCTGCAGGGAGAGGAGAGAGCAGTTGGGCATTGAGATGCCTGCAGGCCATTGAGCCAGTGCTTGTAAAACCACAGCCTAAGGACTGTGCTGGGGAGAGCGAGCTTAAGTCCTCCTCTCATCCTTGTAGATAAGGAATGACCACAGTGTCCACAAAAGAGCAAGATATAGGTGTCTTCACAAGCCTTAACAACCCAGTGTGTCTGTTAAGCATAAGCACTGGAGCTACATGGTGCCTCCATTGCAGGCACTCACTGGGAAAAGCAAGTATGTCGTGCACAGCCCGGTTATGCTTGATTTGTAAAACTCAGCTGGACATATATGCTTGGAGGTGGCATAGGCGTGAGGGCAAGCTACTGCTCCTCTTTGGAGGGGAGCTGTTGCTCAAGACAAGATGCTTTGTCAGAAATATGTTTTTTTTAATAAGAGCTCTGCCAAAACTATTTCTTCTAGTACCCAAATTGTCAACGCTATAAGCAATATGAAGCTTTCCCTATTACATAATCAAGAGAACATTGATCTTTATGTTTGAAAAGTAAGAAATGGCTAAGTCTCGATGTGGCTAGACAGCCCCCACGGATACAATCTCGGCTTTGTGACATCTGGCTTTGTAATTGCTCTGCTGAAACTACTGGGTAGCTGTTATCTATTCAGGCAGTTTTGAAAAGCTCTGCTCGAGTGAACCTCGTGCCCCTTTTATCTGAAGGTTGGGAGCCACCTACCTTTCTCTTAAAATAGACTAAGCTACTTCTTGCAGTGCCTAATGAGTCCCATGAACGCCCAGGATAGAGCTGCACGTTACTGAGCTCATTACAGCTCATTAACGAGGCCTTAGCTGGGTGCCAGGCCTACATGTGAGCAGGCACGTTGAGGATGCTCTAGTGTAGGGCTCTTACACTTGCAGTGCTCCACGCCAGGTCCTTCAGGCTTCCCTCGCGCTCCAAGAGCTGTGTTTGTGCCGGCAAAATAAACGTTACCCGGGAACATTCCCAGGCACTGGACTTGACTGTAAAGCTGTGAACATGTTCTCTGTCCTTGCACGGCCTGTGCCAACTAAAACTTTCTCCAGTAATTCCCAGGCGAGGTTGGGGGATTAGCTTGGGCCAAAGGCTATTCCAATAAGCACTTTGGATGTGGCCAGGCCCTCTTCAGAGGGTGAGGGAGTTGCACTGTGGAAGGCCCTTCCAGGCTGGCTGGCCCCAGGCCCAGGGAACAGCCCCAGGCACCGTTGATTTACTGGTACAGAAGTAACCCCAGGCTGCAGCTCCACGGCCCATCCTGCAGGTAGGAACCCAGCCGCCCTGGTCCGGCTCTTGTCCTGGCCGGAGCCTTCTGCCTCTTCCTCCTCTCTACTGGCACCGGTGCCGTCACCTGCTGAGCTATTGCAAGAAGCTCATCCGCAGGAGCTATAAACACACTCGGCATAAACTCTGCATCCGGAGGGACTCCCTTAACTGGCTCTGTGCCGGAGCCGGCCCAGGTGCGGGCTGGAAACTCATGTCAGGGAGAGGAGGAGGACGGGGAGAGGACGCTGAAGTACCGGTACCCAAGAGGACCGGAGATCTCCACGTCAAGGCGCTTCTGTTTGATTTACCCTGGGATAAACACACTCCAGGCGCAGCTGGGCGCACTTGAGCCCTGTGTCTGCGCACGCCCATGGGTGGCCTCACGTTCACCTCGGGCTGCCCAAGGCCCTCACAGCTCCCTCAGCCCAGGCCGAGCTCGCGGCTCTGCACCGTGCAACGTCCGCGCTCTGGCAGCTCAAACCCAGCCAGGAAACTGCTCCCCAGAGACCACGTGGAAACCGCCTGATCCCCTCGGGATTTGCACACCCACTTCTCTTTGGTTTTACGAGCAACTTTAAAATAGTAGTGTTGCGTGCTGCACGCTCCATCGTGCGTACGCGGATTTGCATTAGAAGTTGGGTCTAGAAAGCAGAAAATGCTTTGTGAGTGTTCAGTGTTGGCCTCTGGTGACAGGACGATCAGTGCACCCCTGAGAGCAGCCAGTGACACGCGAAGGTAGAAGCTAAAACAGCCCTGCCAGTCGTGGGAGGTTTCACTGCACAAATATCAGCCGTTTCTCAGAAAATAAGTGGAATAACAACAAACTGAAGCCGCTGCTAGTCATGACGACTCTGCCTATAGTAACACAGTTACTTCAGATTCTAAACGCTTGTCAAAATGCTAATATCATCCACAAGGTGAATATCTTCCATATTAAAGTGAATGGAACGTGAGGGAGAATATTGGTCTGAATAGCATCTTTGTGACTGCTTGCGAGTGTCTGCACACACTCTGGAGGTGCTGAGGCTTCTTTTTTTCCCTTTGGAGAAACTTAAAAACTTAGTAATTCTGAAAAAGGTATTTACTAGCTTAAATTTGTTTGTTTGCTCCCAAATGCTTAGGTGGTTTTACACTGCTTTAGCAGTTAACACTTTCCTCACAACACCAAAAGGAAGTACAGAAGGAACACAACTGAAATACAGACTGAAGACCTGCCTAGAGCTCCTTTGGCTTTGCTTTTCTATGAAATGGTCAGCACTCAAGAGTCCGGGCTTTGTATAGTTTTTCTGATTAATGTATGTGTTCAATTTCTGCCCTGGAGAAAGCAGTGACAGAAGGAACAGCTGAGTGTCAGGAATGGCAGGAGCACACAGCTCTGCTCGATTGCTCTTCAGTTGCTCACGTTAGAGCTTGACCCCACTGCATGAGCGCAGTCTATACTTAAGCCTCAAGCTTGTGTTGTTGTTGTCTCAAGTATTTCCAACAGGCCTCATGAAGCTGCCCTGAGTGTTTCCAGCAGCAGCCACATAGCTGAGGCTCCTGCAGGCACCGTGTCACCAGGTTATTTATGGCACCTACATCAAGTGAGTACGCCTTGGATGATGAGTATTTGTCACGTGGTTGTAAAATACTTTGCAAAGGGGGGCATATATTCCCTGCCTATTAAATCATTCATGGGCCTCTGTGCTTTTGGCTATTTGACTACATAAATCCATCTCTAAGTTCAGTTGTATGCTAATTTTATGCATACAACATCGATAGTAGCTAGTATAATTTCTGTAGACTCAGCCCACAAGCATTCACTCAGCTCTCTCATTTGCTTGACTGGCATCCCTGTAGATAAACACTGACTAGAAGATGATTCTAAGAGGACTGGGGCGGCACTCTGATGTGGTGACCAGGTTTCAGCGTTTGCATTTAGTAATTACATGATATAATGGCACTGTCTTCTAGCAACGATATGCATTTTGCTATCAGCATGCAGCACATTGTGCCACGCTAAAATGGTATTAAATGCTTCGGATATGCCAGAGTTCTACCTCAGCAGCGCATCCAGCTAATACACTTACATTTTTAAACCTGCGTAACTGAAGCACCCCTGATACTTGGTTAAGAAACCCATCGGTCTACTAATTGCTATTATAAATATGCACAGTGCACGAGGATAATTAATATAATTAGTATTGCTTATGCTAACTGCATGGCAGCTGAATGATTAGCCCATCAGCACAGCCTAGGGATGAGGTGAAATGGTATCAGGGTTCTTCCTCTGCCCCTTCACTGGCAGCTTATAGCAGGGAATGGCAGATAAATGACAGTGCCTCGGGCCCTGGGGAAATAAAGGGCCCATCTCTTCCCATCTCCTCTTTCATTATGGAAACTGAGCGGAGCAGCTGAGTCCCAGCTAATTAGAGGGGAAAGGGATTCAAGAATATATCACTTCCATGGGGCTGCTCTCTTTTAATCACCCTTGGAATGGACTTCCATCTCCCACAATGTCATAATATTTGATAAACAGCACAGAATTCAATCCAAGCGAACAGAAGGGAAATGCGGTCAGAAACAGGTTTGCTAAATCCAGCCTGATTTTTGTTTGGGCCCTTTTTTTGTCTGCTGTTTGTGTGTGAACAAAGGAGACCCGATATTGCCTGTAAGCCCCTGGTTGCCCTCAGGGAGCCGCCTGCCACCGAGTGCGCACGGAGGAGAGGCTTCAAGGCCCCTTTCAGTGCAGTGCCTAACGCCTGGATAAAGGGAAACGTGGGGAAAGGGCTTGAA